GTAAGAGGAGGTGTAGGGTCTGGGAGGAAGTTGTGATGTAGGAGAAGGGGGAAGAGGGGTACAGAGGGTTTGGGTGGTGGCTTGGGACAGGTAGTCAGAGGGGAGAGAGGAGGTGGGGTGTCAGAGGTAGGCTCTGGCTCGGAGGTACTTATCTATGTAGCTCCCAACCAGCAGCTTTGCAGAAACCTGAGGCAGACAGTCTGCTGCAGGCTGCTCACTACTCCACATGGCTCCGCTCCGGGTATGAGTCAGGGAAGGGAGGGAGAAGGCTTCCCACACTCTCCCTGCCCCCAGCAGAATTTCTCAGTTCCTATTGACTGGAAATTTGTCAATGGGAGATGAGAGATTTTGCTGGAGGTGGGAGCAGGGGCAGCATGCAAAGACTCCTTCCTCCCTCCCCAGCTGTCCAGAGTGGAGAGCAGCTGGCTTTTTAAAGCTGAGCTGCTCTCTGACTAAGGGTTCTGGCAAGGTGGCTGCAGGCTGGATCCAGTGGCTTGGCAGGCTAAATCCAGTCCGCTGGCAGCCTCTTGCTCACCTCTTGTCTAGGGGAACTGGCATAATTCCAGGGGTGCGAGTAGATGATAGGTCAATTGACTTAATTTTAGCTGTCAATTGGCAGGGGTTTTTAACAGCGCAAGTTTATATATTTTGGGCTATTTTGCTGCCCTACTACAGCTGGCCAAACCACTTCGGAGTTCTTATGAGGAAGGGAGCCTCCTGATTTTCCCCATCCTCGGCCAAGACACTCCACACATTTTTTGTCTCATGTCATGCTCCCTTTCCTTCGGTGATGTTCACAGTGTGCACAGAATTCTTGTCAAAGAGAGGCAGAATTTTTTTTCCATAGAAAATGTAGCTCAGTTTCAACTTTTGCCCACCAGTGGTCACTCTGGTACCACAACAGCCTGAGTTGCCTGAGGGTGACTGGTTTGGAAGTTGGCTGCAAACAGCTAGCAGGAAGTGGCGGGTGCATTTTCTCCTTAAGTGAAAATTCACAGCAGCCTCCTTGAAGCCAGAAGAGGAGCCAGAGCAGGCCACACAGGGCTGTCGCGGGGTAAAGGTCACAGGATCAGATGGGGATACAGGAAGGGGGCTCCAGACATGGCAACATGGAGAGGCAGAGGGATCACTGAAGATGCTGTGCCCAAGGGCATGTAAGGTGTAAATTTTATTTGCACCAAGAACTATGAGGCAGTTCACCACTTTGCTGCCAGTATGCCAGCAAATAATTTCAAGTCAGTTTAAATTAAGATGCACTACACTTCAAAAGTAGACTTAACTTTTATTCAAACGGAATGAGTTGCCTTGGTTGATATGAAACACACTCTATGCTGCTGAAATGTATTTGTGCATTATCTCCTCAACAACACATGGTTCATAGGTACATAGAGATTGCCAAATTAAAAGAGACTGTCTACATACAGTAGCCTGGAAATCCTTTGTCAAGCAGTCAATATTAGATGTTTCAGGAAAGATGCAAAGAAACCCTAAGCATCTAATTTTATGTTACTATATATAATAAAAATGCTACTGGACCCCACCACATATCTCACATACTAGAACATAAACGTTTATAATCTTTGTAATTGTTCAGGTTAGCTAGTATAGTTAGACATGATTCTTAGGTGTATAAATATATAATCATTATGAAAAAGAGCTATTTACTTCCAAATTTCCCCAGTGGAAATGAGTTACGTAGCTTAATTATACATTAAATTAAAATATGTCCTTTTATCCATTTTAAATCTGTTGTATTTCAAAATAGTCCTGGCATGAAGACCAATCAATGATGACTTTATACAATACCTTTGTTTCATTTCAGTACTTTCAGTAGCCCTCTGGAGAGATCTACATTTCCTTACCGCTCCAAGAAAAACTGCTTTCAGGAAGAATGGCTACCCTGCATAACATGGTTGGCTACATTTGTAATGGTTTATTGAATTCACATTCTGAAACCAGTCTACAAATCTGCAGATGGCAACTTAATCTAAATGCTGTCCAGAATTGCAGCCCCCATTTTTGGGACTGCAAGAGCAGCTACCCAATTGCTCTTCCTCTCTCTGGAAGAAACTTACTGGAAAGTGCTCAGAGTGTGCTGGAGAATAGCGAGAATCATGGTTCTGTTAACTAACTATCCAAGAAGGAGGGATTTAGTTGCCACATTTAATGAACTAGTCTCTCTGCCCTATGTTACCAAAGAACTTTCCAAAGATATATTTGGAATATATATTCCCTGAGGCAGAATAACTATTAACGTCCCTCATCCCCGGAATGTGCATCTTTTCACCATACCAACTACAGCGTAAAAAGCTGCTAATGTCTCATGGGAAACTCTGTCATGTACCTTTACCTTGAACTCTCTCCTCATGGCTCAGATCTGGAATTCAGCCTACCATTTTATCACCTCTGCAACAATGTCTTTACATTTCTCTGCCTATCTCTGCTGAAATCCACATACATCCTTTATCTCCAGATGCCTCCACTACCGCAATTCTCTTCAGTATTGCCTTCTAAATTTCCAACTCTCCAGAGTTCAGCTTGCAGAAGGTAGACTGCGTGCAGGACTACTGAATTTGTTTTCTCCATGGGATTACTTCTTTGCTTTGCTACATAAAGAAATTCCTCTTTTGTTGTTGCAAACACTCTTGAGTTTACTAGATTATCATTATAAGCATGCTGCTGTGTGGTGTATGGTGGTGAGAACTGGACTGTCTATGGCAGACACAAGAAAAAGCTAACCACCTTCCACATCTGCTATCATTGCCTTATTCTAAGTACCAAGTGGAAAATCAAACTTCCTGACGTAAAAGCAATTGAGAATATGCAGTTGCCAAGTCTAATCCCTGCTCTAAAACCCAATTGTCTCTATTGGCTTGGTCACCAGATGAATGCATTCCAAAGTATCTCCTGTGTAGAGAACTTGCCCATGTTCCAAAGTCACTGGGACAACTCTGACTCATATTCCAGGGTTTCTGTAAGAGAGACTTGAAAACTTTCAGCACTGACACTGCAAGCTGGAAAGATGAAGCTGACAATATGCTACACCAGTGGTTCCCAACCTTTTCCAGATGGGGACCCATTTTGACAATTCAGGGCAATTAAACCCAGGGCAATTAAAAAAATGTGTGAATGGCTCACTAAGAGCCACCTGGGGAGATACCTGGTGACCCTTTTGAAATGTAATAGCGACCCATAGTTGGGTTCCGACCCATAGGCTGGGAAACCCTGTGCTACACAGTACAAGAGAGTCAAAAAGAGAGAAGAGAGGTGGTTGAGAGAGGAAAACAAAGAAGAAAGGGCAGTAGACCTCAAGTGCTACTAGCACACTGGCTTCATCCTGTTACCCTGAATTTTATGACGTGCTAACTCTGGCAACTATTGTTGCTTGAAAATTGGACTTTTTAGTCACTCATGGATGCTGCAGCATGACATCGTTGTTTCGGTGCTCACACTATTGCCTTTTGAGATAGATGGCTGCTATTCAATACAAAAAGACTACTGTGCTGTCTTGGAAAGGCCTGCAGGGCCTAACGAGATTGTTCCATGGAACCCCTGCCCAGGGAACATGTGGGGAACTGTCAATCAACTCAGTGGACTTTGCCCTTTACTGAAATCTGCCCTGTAGTTTGTCTTGGATCATAAAGAGCACAGGCACAACGTTGGCAATTAACCTCCCAAGACACATCACCATTACGATATTTCTGCTCAGGCCTGCAGGCAACTATGAAATGTTAGTATTGCTGTTTTTCCAATCACTGGGAACTAGTCCCTCAGGATTCCTGAATCTAAACAGTCACTGCAGGGATGCATGGTTTGTCCTGATCACAAACTTCCTCCCATATGTAGTCAAAACATTCTATAGATTTAATTACTGCTACGAGTTCCTTTAGGGTGGTGAAATCACTTTTTTCAGGAGAACTTAGATATTTGTTGTAATACACTCTCAAATCTTTTGTGTCCTTGTGTCAAAATTGTCCCCACTGTATAAGCAGATGAGTCCAACAAAAAAAAGGGTTTGAAATACAGACAAAAGCAGACACAAATGCTTTTTTTCAACTAAAAAACTAAGTCACAATCTGCTGACCTCTGAAATGGTTTCCCTTTCTCACCAAATTTATGCAATTGTTTTGCAATTGCATTGGCAAACTCACAAATAAACCTTCTCTAATAGGAGCAGAGTCTTACAAAACTGTGCCCACCTGTGAGTATCTGGGAAGTTGACAAGTTTTGCAAAGTCTCGGTTTTCTCTTTAGCAGTGGAAATTCCCATCCAATTGACTGTGCAAGGTAACTTACCTCTTTCTGAAACAACTCCAATTTCATTGGATTCATTTTTAGATTGGCAGACTTAAAAATGTATCACAGACCATTGTAAATGTATCAGTTCCCTGTTCCAATACGTTAGCATGCGCCAAGAGATCATGATCCCAGTTTTACAGATGGGAACACAGAGGCACAGATGTGAAGTGACTTGCCCAAGGTCACTGACTATGCCACTTTCACAGCCAGATCTCTTAAATCCCAGTTCAGTGTTGTGTCCTCTAGATTTTACTGCCTAAGGAGTTTTTAAAGGAAAGGATCCTAGAAAAACTTTCAGTGTAATATAAAAATATTTTAATCACCAGACCTAATTACTCAGAAGCATGCACTTCTATATACAATTTTGAAAATTATGAACTGTAATAATAAATAATACTTAAAAATTAAACAGCAAGATGGAATTGTAACAATCTGATAAATATTTGATGCACAGGAAACATTTTTTATAACAAAAATTCTAAAAAACAGGAAACATTACTATTCTTCCTATAAAGTGGCTGAATTTTACAGCTGTGATTTCAGTAATGATCTTCTAGATATCAATAAATAAAATAAATAACAATAGTTATATCCAAGAAAGAAGTGCTTCTGACTGTGTTGGAGCTTGCATGTGTACTAATAATCTGTGGCAATGCTGAGTTTTCAAAAGATGCCCTGTGTGGCTAGAGTAAAAGCATTTACCTCTGACAGCATATCCATCTTTTACAGATGCTGGGAAGGGGGGCAGGTTATCTTTTGCATAAACATCTTGAGCAAGGACTCGGCCCATTCCATCTAAAAAGGGAGAAAGAAAAAAAATACCATGTTCCATGTCAATGAATGTACTCAAAGGGAATAGAAGGTGACAGAAGTGTGCTCTCATGGATGAAATTCATGTGTATGTGACACATCTCATAATCTGGCCTGTCAAGCTCTTGATTTCTATCCAAACCAATAGGGAAATAAATTGAGAGATGCAGCCTGAAAGCAGAGATGAAAGATGTGGTTCAGTCAACCTGCATTTTTGGTTACGACAAACTTGTTGGCATTGGATTTGGATGTATAGTATCCAGAACAAGAGCAGTTGGCTGAGAACCAGGCGAAGTCCTGGTCTATACCACAAAGTTAGGTTAATATAAGATGCTTGTGCATGTATCTACAATTAAATGTAGATACTGTGTTACTTAAGTCAAGTCTAACAGTCCTCTAACAGCTAACCCACAGTGCCCAATATTGACTGCTCCTTCCAGGGGTCATAGAGACCAGAAGACCCCTACCCCTTTAAAGTGCCACACATTTTTTTAAAATGTCTTTACCTGATTGTCCAGTTTGGTGAGCATATGTAGCTGCTCTGCCCCTTGGCCCTGACTGCTCTTGGTGTAATCCTGATGAAGTGCAACAATCATATATGTAAAGCAACCACCACAACACGTATAAGTGCACGAATAATCTTATTCACAGATGTACAGAAAATTCCACACAATTCCTAGGAGGTCCCAAATCAGCAGGGCCTGGTAGAACACAGTACTCCACAGTGCATTATTGAGGCTCACTATTACAGTGATTTTTCAAAACTTCCTCGAACCATCTAGCCTTGCACTTAGAACTTCTAATAGCCTTTGTGACTGGTTGTTTAAACTCAGAAGACAGTAATTCCACCTCCACAACAACTTTCCCCCCTTTGTTTGATAGATATTATGTAGGATACAGCAAGCAGCTACAACCATTACAATATTTTTTTCACTGATATCCTATTTTGGAGTAAACAACTTCAGCATCACTTCAATCTACCAAAAGTAAATTCAGCTGTCATTCTGCACATGCTGAGTTGGTAGCTGAATCTTTCCTTTGTGCTGTTGAGGTGGCTGGTGTACAGCTTCATGAGCCAGAGAAGCAAAGAGTAGCTTAGGGTATATCTAGACTACAGAGCTTTTCCGGGATGAAAAGCTCTGCCACATGCAAGGAATGCATCTGCTTTTCCGAAGAGGAGAAGAGATGCTGATATCAAGGTGCCCCCTCTCCCATTTGCACTTTCAAAACGTCTAATTTACATCCCTCTGCCGACAGAGGGGTGTAGTTTAGACATAGCCTAGATGAAAATCTGTCTCATTTATGTGGAACCACAACACTGACCTGGGGAGAAATCTTGGCTGAATCCACAGCACTGCCTTATTCTGATAAAGCAGGGGTGGGGAACCTCAGGCTCGGGGGGTCAGATGTGACCCCCTGGCTTGCCTGGATCCGACCTCTGATGCTCAGGAGCCCCCCTAGCATTGGGGAGCCTGCATTAGCACTCCAACCCCCCTGCTACCCCACCGCAGGACTGGAGCACAGAAAATCTACGATGCTGGGTCCCCCTAGGCTTTGGTATGTGCGGGGAATATGAGCAGGACTCGACAAATAATACAATCTAGTAGATTGTAACCCGGAAGAGCTGGGTTCGGGCAATCTGCGCATGCGCAGATTGCCGGACAGTGCGGCTGGCGAGCGGGGCTCGCCATGGTTCAGCGAGCCCTGAATATGAGGAATGTCTTTCTGCTTCTCAGTTAGGGGCCACGTTAGTGACGGGCTGGGGGTTTTTGGCTTCTCATTTGTGTGTGGCCCCTGACTGATTTTTCTGTGGGTCAGCAGCCCCTGACCCAAAAAAGGTTCCCACCCCTGTTATAAAGCATGGTATAGGGCGTATCAGTCATTGTGGCCTGAAGCTGAATTCATTGACAAAAGGAAAATGACCTTCCATATATTACATGTAAGATCCCAGGAATTAAGTGGTTCAAAATAAGATTTTCCAGCTTTGTCAGAATGAAACCTATATCACACAGTAAAGAGGGTATTTTAATATTTTTTAAGTCCTATTCACTTAGTTTGTGATACAGAGGCATAGAGAGAGGGGAGCGGGGGGAGAGGGAGCAGTTGCCCCCAGGTGCCACACTAGGGGGGCACAGGGATGGGCTGCGGGGACGGGACGGACAGGGGAGAGGTGCGGGGCTCTGGGCTCACCTGGGCTGCAGGAGCAGGGAGGTGCCGGGAACCAAGCCCTGGACTCAAGGGGAAGGACGGAGGGAGGGAGGGGCAGGGAATCAGTGCTGGGCTCAGCAGTTTTGTGGGCTTGGGGGGAGGTGAAGGGAATGGGGCTCAGCTGGGTTGCAGAATGAAGAGGTGCAGGGTGCTGAGCTGAGCTGGGCTGTAGGGGGTGGGGAGGCAGAGGTGCAGAGCTCAGAGCTCAGTTTGGCTGCAGGAGGAGGGAGGTGTGGGAAACCGGGCCTAGACTCAAAGGGAGGGAGGGGCAGGAAATCAGAGCCGGGCTCAGCAGTTTTGCGGGCTTGGGGGGAGGTGCAGGGAATGGGGCTCAGCTGTGCTGTGGGGGAGGCATACAGGGAACCAGTGCGGGGCTCAACTGGGCTGAGGTGGATGGGGGAAGGCATAGGGAACAGAAGGGCAGCTCAGTTGGGCTGTAAAGGACTGCAGGGAACTGGTGCTGCACTCCCTTGGATTATGGAGGATGGTTTTTGGGGAGGCGCAGGGAACCAGTGGGGGTGGGCAGCTCAGTTGGGTTGCAGGGGAAGGAGGTGCAAAGAAGCCTAGTGGGAAGGGAGGGGAGGAACCAGGAGCCCTTACATGACCTCCCCTGGTCCAAAAAATCCTTCATCTGGGATCAGTCAGGTCCAGAGGGTGCCAGACCAGAGAGGTCCAACTCCTACCCAAGTCCCCTCCTTGCACCTTCCCTCCTAGCCAGATACGCTACATCAAGCCTGCTTCTGCACCCTACCTACCACCCAGGCCTTGCCCCCTTCCACCCCCCACCTCTCCTCCAGATCCTGCATCCCAACCATATCCCGCTCATAGGCAGCCCTCTCACACACATTGAACCCCTTATTTTTGTCCCCACTTTAGAACCTAAGGGGTCCATAAAATTAATCAGAAAAGCAAATCTAGCCTATGGAAAGTCCCGAACCTCAGTCCTTCCCGTCACTTCCCCTCGCTCCTTGGGGTTGGAATGCCAGAGGAGTGAGGTGTCTCCGTGGCGACTGGAGGGTTGGAGTTTTGGGAGGAGTGTTTTTGTTTCTCACTTGTGTGGTTCCCATCTGATTTTTCTATGGATCAGTGGCCCCTGATCCAAAAAAAGTTGCTTACCCCTGCCATAAGTAAAGAAAACATTGAAACCTTTTGTATTGGACATAAAATAATATTTTACTTTATTTAAAATGATGTTTGATAAACTAACATGAGAAAGTTAACATTTAATCTGTTTAATAATTGAAATTAAACCATTCTTCACAGCTGCAGCATTAGCAAAATGGCTTGGGCATAATTGTGTAATTAAAGGTGAGTTACCATTAGCAACTGTCCGTCTGCAGAAAGGTTTACGTTGAGTCATGTGGTCCATGGGCCAAAAAGCTTGAGAACCACTGGAATAGAGACACCTCTGGCCTCTCCCCCCAACAGTCAGTTGCAGGCTTCCTGCTGTTCCACAAGAGCCCACAGAGAGATCAGGTCTGTTACCACAATGGTAAATCACCATTTTGCTCCAGTGTGGATGATGGACACACTCTTTTATGAGTCTTCGTCATCCAAGCAGTTGATCTAAACAGCATGGTAAGAAGCCACATGAAAACATTTGGTACGTCCACCACCAAGAGGTGGGACGTTTTGTCTCTATCCAGAAAGAGTTGTCATGACTTGTGTCTCTGGGTGAACAAGAGCCTTTGTGAGCTCTGAGAAGAGGTAAGATGTTTTGACTTCCAGCTTCAAGGGATTTGTTCTGTCTTTGGAGTGCACGTTGCTTTGACCTGAATGAAGTCAGCTGTGACAACGCATTTCTGTGTAATTCTGACACAAAGTGGAACCTGTGCTGAAGACCCCACATTCAGGGAGAGAAAGCGCTGCTGTCATAAAAAGTAAATTCAAAGCCTCTCCAATTTTCTTCAAAGATCACCTCTACCAGGCAGTGGGGCTTTTACTGATTCGTCCCTTATATGTTTGAAGGGTGACTAAATGTTATCTGGATCTCTTTGGGTCATATCAACAGATTGTTTTGGGCTCAATCCTAGATTAAAATTGAAATTGTATTAGGCCCTTTGTAAGCAGGCTGGGAAGTGGTCTCATTTGGCAATTATTATTCAGTATTATTTACGTAATATACACATTGCCATCTTGGTATTGACATATACATTTCTCAGTACCTTCACATATAAAATAGCCCAGCCCCATTGACCTCCATGGGCAATGTACCTTGTAAGGAGTGATGGGGATACAATGAAGTTGTTTACACAAATATGTTGCAATTGTGAAAAAAAAATTGTGTCTGAAAACTGTAGGTACTGGGGGTACTCATACATTTTTTAAAAGGGATACTTTATAAAAGAAGTTTGAGTAACACTGCTCTGAAACCATTCCTTTTGGCCTCCCTGTTTCCTTTCTCCTTTGACAAGTTGGACAGGTAGCAGTTTTGGTAAAAATATAACAGACATGTGCATGCAGTGCCTGCTCTACCTCAGCTAGTGCTGGATAATCAGAGCCTCAATTCTAAAGGAATTGGCATTATCAAGGTGATCAATCCTCCTACGTTTTGTTGTGGTTTTTCCAAAGAAAATTCTGGTGTTTTCTATAGGTCACCCACATCTACCAGTCATAGCAGAGACTTGGGATTAAACACGGCTTTCTCAACTAAAAGTCTTATACATGTTCGGATGCTGTGATTGTGAACACTTTGTGAGGCAGTCTGCCAAAGGCAAGGCTGGCCTTGAATCTTTATATCTATGGCTTCAGTTGAATGGCTTGTGTGAAATTTGGAA